GGTTGGTTGGAAAGGAGGTTTGGGGCTTGCATGGCTAAAGCGAGGGGTATGAGTGTCGAAGGTGGTTGGGGTTGACTTCGTGTAGTGTGTGGGTTGTTGATTTGGTTCGTTGATGTGATGGCAGGTATGTGCTGTGAAGCAGATTTTGAATCTGGTTGCCTACGATCACACGTATACATATTATTGTGAGAAACCCCAGTGAGACCGTGAAAAGTGATCGTCATATACTTAACCCCTATATATGTATACATAGGTATACTTGGGATGAATGTTTGCATGGGTTGAAGAGCCCCCACATTAGAGCCCCATTCAGAAGCTGAGACTGAGGGGTTAGAGGAGGTCTCTCCTTTTATTCTTGTCTCTTGCTTTTTGATGATTTTCTTAGTCGGACGTTTGGTCCTGGGCCGGGATTTGAGGTCCTTGTCCATGACATCCCAAGCCCTAGGCTCTGCAGGGGAGGGGTTTTCCCTCGCGCAAAGCCTATTTGACTTACCTACCGAGACACTCAGGTCGAGAGCATAAGGTGCAGCGGCGGTTGCACGACTTTTCCTTCAGCCGTGCAATGTCGTGAAGGGTTAGGCCCTCACGACACTTCAAGTCTGACACTTAAGTGTCATAAGCGGTACTCGGATCCACGAGGGACCGCTTGATTACGGGCACTACATAGTACGCCATCGTTGCGACTGCTTGTGTATGCCTGCATTGCAAGTCGATATGAGTATGCCCTGCGTCCGCGCGGTTTTATATTAAGTTCAGCGCGTGACGCYTATCCGATTTCCGCACTGGAAAGTTATGGGTTGGCTACTGAGGGACTAGGAGCGTTGTTGCGTTGTTGGTATTGTGTCGTTTCGTATATATGTTGTTTTGTGTGTATGTGTGTTCGAAAGCGGAGTGCGCGTGGTGTGTGTGGGATGCGTCCTAGTCGACCGACGATGAGTCGCGCCTGGGACTTCAGCCCCCCCAAGATGTTGGTTCGCGTGCAGGTCCGATAGAGGCGTATTACCGCGCGTACCCCCTATGCTACAGCGAACGAGAAACGCCCTCGGCTGGTCCACCTCTGTGATTGCAACTGATTAGCTTTCATACTGTGGACTGGTAGCTCGGCGGGGATACGCCCACCGAAGGGAGGTGACAGCTCCCGTAAGGTGTAGGTAAGTCGTGCCTCGCGTAGGCCCTGTCCTGTCGTAGGGGCTCGCGAGAGGTATGGCTGGCGCACCCGGCCGGAGCGACTTGCAGAAGCTCCATGTATATTGCGACGAAGGGTTATGAAAACCAACTCCTGCGTGACACGGCCGGGAGGGTCCCGCGCTGCCCCCGTGCGGTGCCGGACCGATGCGCCCGACAGGTGGCGCCGTTGCCGGGGATAACGGAAAGCCTACCGTTGTCCCTGGTGGAACGACATCCGGGTATGAGAAGTGAATAAGAAAAGGCATAAAGGAGTGATGAGAAGGTAATGAAGGAATATATGAAAGACTAAGTGTAGGTGAGGAAATTTACCTATCCAAGTAGAGGAAGTATGAGGGACGATCGTGTTAACAGTGGGTAAAGTAAGTACTAAGGGTTAGGTAGGACGAATGGAATAGATCGGTCAAGGTATAATGTTGAATAAGGGGATGTACTTGTTTTCTTTTGCCAGGGAACTTAAAAAGAAAAGGYTGTCAAGATGCCTGAGACTGGCGGCGCATCAGTTGTTCCCAAGAAGGGCCTGACACTCGATGACCTCATCGTGGCCATCGACCGACATGAAAGGAACCCGAGCAACATCCCGAAGGTCGATACTTTCCATTTCTGTGGGGAGAGAGTCTCAGAATGGCTAGAGCGGGTGGAACAAGCTTTGGTCGGGCGGCCGGATGTTGTAAAGTTTCAACGCATCCTTCAGTATGTCCTCCACAACTACCATCAGGAGGTGAAGAAAGTCATAGATGCGGCTCAAGGTAGCTGGGAGAGGTTCAAGGAGGGGATGCAGAGGAAATACCGCTTGGGAGACGGGTTGTTGACTACCACGGACCTTGAAGCGATAAACAAAGAGGATTTTACGACTAAAGGGGCCTTTGTTCAAGAATTTAAGAAGAGGGCGCGGAAGGTCCATGGGATTTCGGAGGAAGCACAGTGCGCCATCTTCCTGGGGCTACTCACAACATCGGAGGCCGTCGAATTGACGAGACATGGAGGAGGTAGCACTAAGCTCACCTGGGCCACCATTGACAGAGGGGTGGAAGTTGGGTGATTGGACTAGGTGGAACAACGTCAGGTACGCCTGCAAAGACARAAGAGAAAGGAAAGAGATGCGACCGCTTCTGGGACCCCGGGAGTAACAAGGATTGTTACAGACGTATTGGCACAGCTAGGGTATGCGACAGAGCCAGTGGTGCAAAGAAGGGTGGTGATGGCTGTCAAAGTAAAAGGAAAAGAGTCAGTGATAGAGGAGGCTGGCCAGGAGGAGCTCTGGGAAGAGGAAGAGCCGGTGCCGCAACACCTGACGAAGGTCCAGTGCAAAGTGCGTAATTTGGCGCAGGGCGGACAGGGATCAGGAAAAGCGCAGGCGCCTCAAACCCAGGCAGCAGCCCCTTTAAATGTGGCGGCTCCATCATCTAGTACGG